GAGATTATTCGATAATGTGAAGTCGGCAACTCGTTGTAGAAACAGGCGCCGTCGCGCTTAGGCCGACTATTTGCAAACGAAGAATTCCTAATTGCTAACCTCCCAATCCTAGCTTTCTTGGGGAAAAGTGATCAGGCCGCCATAGTCCTCAGTTTTATTAACAAAAATGAGGTAAACATTCCACCAACAACAGGCAGTAGAATTTCAAACAGTTGAATGTGTCAACTTTGCAGGACTATCTACAGCAGGTGGATTGAAAAGTTCACCATCAGCTAGATGTGGATGCTCATTTTGATTTCTTACTGCACACGCTCTTACGTGCTTCGAGGCAGTCTGTTCCTGTAATGGTCCCCAAAATCCACAGACAACTTACAGTCATCAAGAACCGTACATTTCGTTTGCTAAGCAGAAAAAGCCCTAAAGAATTGGTAACAACGGTGAGTGCAGGCAGTACAAACGTATAAGGAACATGTGCACGAAGGTAATAAGAGAAAAGAGGTTTCAATACAGGGTAAAGCCTGTCGATAAATCTGTCTCTAATCCGGAAAACTTATTCTGGTTGGTAGTCTTCCTCTTCGACAGGCCGAAACTGGAGTTTTCCAAAAGCTAGGTAATAATGGTCCGACAATTGGAGACAGTGGAACCACTAACGTTCTGGCTGAACAATACTTTCAAACATTTAAACCGACCCACATTAACTATTTTGATGAAATCTTCATCTACAACTTCACAAGACTTTCCGTAGTGAACCTGAGCGCTGACTAGTGTTACGGAAATTGCAGCACCTAGGAACAGACACTTCTCGTGGCCCAAATATGGTTCATTCTGTCATACTGAAGGAAACAACTTCAATCTTGGCAACACCGCTTAGCGTGGTGTTCTCGCACTCTCTAAGCCTAGGCAAACTTCCGGAAATTTGAAAGCTGGCTCACATCACACCAATTTTCAAAGGAGGTTGACGCAGTGATCCCTCAAGCTACCGACCAGTGGCCCTTCTCTCTATACCTTCTAAAACTATGGAGTCTGTGGTATGCGATGGTATACACGACTATTTATTATCCGTAGAGTTCCTGCCACCTCAAAAGCATGGTCTCATGAAGGGCCATTCCTGTATATGCAACCTGCTTACTGTGGTGGACAGATGGACAAGCATCCTCGACCGCATGGGGAAGGCTGACATCGTCAACCTTGATTTTTCAAAAGTTTTCGGTAGGGTCGACCAAATATGTCCTATCAATAAGCTCAAACGATTGGGTATCAAACCATCTTTAATTGACTGGCTCACTTCATATCCAGAAAATCGACATTTTAAGGTCAGGGTTAATTTCACTTTCTCTCAGGCTATGGAATGTCCTAATGGGGTCCCCCAGGATTCATTACTAGGACTTCTCTTCTTGATTCATATAAACGATCTTCTACAACAAGTATCGTCTGACTTATTAATTTTTGCTGATGATGTGGAACGTTGGAGAGATACGCAACCAAAAGTATATACTGACACTTTAGGAGGATCTGCCTCGACTTCAAAGTTGGTCAGACGACAACAGACTTACCTGGAACACCTCAAAGCGTATAGTTGTCCACCTGAGACATGCTGCAGACTACAGTTACAACGTAAGAAGTTCCTCTCTAGGAGTATCTAAAGTTGAAAAAGATTTAGAAGTGCTGATACTCTACGATTTGAAGTCCTATGCTAACTGTGAGAAAAATGCCTTTCAAGCAAACCTTGCACTGGTAACATTGAAGCGCGTATTCGGTCAATGTGACGGTAGAACTTGCCACATAATCTTGAACGGTTTCATTCATCTTTATTTATAGTATGGAAACAAATTATTTCCTCCTACACTCCTTAAGAATAAAGACTCTCTGGGGCGTATCCAACGGGAAGACACGTATTTCGAAGACTCAAATTGAACCCTAATGAGGAGCGCCCGCAATCACCAAAAATTTACCTATTGGAGTATAGGCATCTTAGAGGTGACTTTCTAGTGACTTACAGCCTTCCTAACACTTCTGGACATCACCTACAGCTGCAACACAAATCTCACGGGTAACACCTAGAAACCAGAGACACAACACAGCAAAACGGACTATTGACATACCTTTTACTCTTCAAGAGTAGTTAAATACTGAAGTTCACTGACAGCTGAGACAGACCAAGAGACTTCGCAGGAGTCCTTTAAGAGAAAACTTGACATATTCTTGAAGACTAAGGATAATATCTTATTATGATTTATCAATTTCTTTTTACTCTTTTATCAACAATATACATTGGTTACTACTTGGAGGTATTGGTGATCCACTGCTACTAAACACGGAAGCTCGTTAAGGGAAAGCTTCTTCTGTTCCGCCCATAACCATTTGAACCATTAATATTCACGACAGCTGATAGGTTAGTACGGGAGGTAGATGGTTACCGCGGTATATTGAGGCGTTAGTGGGTGTTTCTTGACATGTGAGTACAAAACGAGATTGAAAGATCAAAGTCAAATATTTTTTTCAGCAAAGACATTACAGTCAGTAATGACAATTGTACAGGCGGAAAATGAAATGGATGACACAAGCTGATTACAAAATGAGTTCGTGTTAACTACCTTTACGAACTAAAATCCCTGATTAACAACGCTATACTTTACAGAAAATATGAGAATATTGACTCCAACTAAGAGCTTCAGTTAGAATGAAAACCAACTTATAATATTTGTTAGAACATTATATACACAATAATGTGTAACTTTAAATTTACCCAAGTTCAGTAGAGGTAATGTGATGAGACCTACCTACAAACGATCACAAAATGTAATCGTAAGAGTTGTGCTTGGCTTTTAGGAGAATACGTTTTATATATTTGTGAAATATAACTTCGATAGTTGTTTTAATTGGTTAACGGAATTGTACTTTTAACCTAGGAAACAATTTAAATTTCGCTGGACAATGTGAGTTCTGGTTATGGGCATATAAAGTTACTAATTATTGCAACATTAGATAATTATTTGTCAAGAATCTTCAAACAGATTTCCAAACTCATGCTTCACCGAAGTTTCATATTTTAACAAAAGTCCGGGAAAGTTTTTCAAGCATCAATTACTTTCGATTGTCTGTTTCATAGGGGTCTGTTAGCCATCTTTATATCTAGCTTGAATTTTTTTAGTTTCTGAAGACAAGCTGAATAAATATTAGCAGTCTTGTGAACCGTCATATTACCCAAACTATGCTTTATTTTATATAGGTTTTTCCAAAGCCAGAAGTATGGTTTGCTAAGTACAGCTTCATTCAAGAAATGTGGAGGTATGATTCTGTTTATTTGGTATCTAGGTGTATGTATATAATCAACGTGGTTATCGGAGAGCCATAAGTATTACTTATGATTTTCCTGCCCTTTATTATTGGGAAGTCTAACTTATCGCGTGTATTAATAGGTTGCATTACCACCTAAGTTTCGAAAATATCCTAATACATAAGGAAGGCCTATGTTTTTATCGAAAACATACTAACGAGGTTTATCGAGATATCAGATAAGAAACAAAAATGAAGATATTGTTTAAAATTGTAGGTTGTGTGGTCTAATGATGACGTGTCTGCACCTTTTAACTTTATCGTCATTAATTTAAAAATGACCAGTGCTTGCTTAATGAAGATTTTGTGCGGAATATATCCCTGTACAATAATTCTACATTTCCTACATTTTCAATTAATGTTCACACCCATAACAACATGTTTTCCAGCAGTTTTGAAAAGCCATGTGACAATAATCTTATCGATAACGTGATCAGACCTATTTTGTTTTGAAATGACAAAATCGCTTATCGCCTACAATATGTCTTCTAGTTTTTAAAACATTCTAATCGTGAGGATGATTTTGAATTCCATGAACGACTAATCAATCTTGTAGGCTTGCTTAATAAACACGTTGAATCACCATGGTTGCCTTTATATGAACTGCTCTGTTAACTGTCGGCAAAAGTATTGTTTTGAGTAGATGTAAAATGCAGTTTGTCTGTTTTGGTCACAATGCTAATGTTGTCGATATTGGGATATTTGGTTATTGATAGAAAATGGTTGTTTTCATGAGTAATGTGGTTTTTCAGTCGGGACTCTGTTGACGCTTGCGTGGTTGTTTGAGACTTCACAGTCGATTTTTTAATTTTGTTTTACTTTAAACTTTTCAAAGGTGTATCTTTGATGGATATAAAGGCACTTCATTTAAATGAGTGTTGCTTAGTATTTACAGTGTTGCCTTGTCAACAGAATCTATACATTGTTTTCTTTTGTACTCAGATCCGATAAACATGTGGTTTTTAAAATGAACATCTTGTGGACTCTTATGTTTATTTATTGATGTACTTTACCGTTATTTATTTCGAGCAAATTTGGTTCCTATTGTTCATTAATAATAAAGTTTTTTAAGTAATATGTTGTTTGAAGAACTAATTTATACTATTTTCATTTTAGTTCTAATTACAAAATTGTCTATGAAAAACTTAGATAATAGTTATAAGATAATGGAAAAGGCCTTTAGGCTGATTGAATAAATGAAAATCATTGCTGTCATACTGGTGGTTTGAAACATTTTTCTTGCCAAAACAATTAGGCATATCTTTCAGTCTTTGTTTGCAGTCTAGCAAAAGAATGTTTTAAGTCTGACTTTTATCGATATCTTTGAGAGGATGTAGTTGCAATAGTAATCAAACATCGATAAAATTTGAGGCGTTCAGTTTTGTAAGTACAAAAGCCTTTTTCAAGTACATTTCTACACCATATTATCTATGTTTGTTTTTAAGCTGACATTAGTACCAATTCTTTCGAATATTATGCATTTCATTTGGTTAATGACATTTTGTTGGGCTGATATGTGTTGTAGCGACTCGGCATTAAGAACTGTGGTTGTGCATGAAATTGTAAACGTACGGCTGACTTTGGTAAGTAAACCCAGCTTTCTCTTTTTCATTTTTCAGCTTGTAAATTAAATGTAATTACACATTTAACAAGATTCTTGGAAGATGAACAATTTTGTAGAAGGTGCTCCTTCCAAGTTCGTTAATAAAAATGATATTAGCACTCATATTTCGCCAAATTTAACGCTACTTCGTAAGTCCAAGACACTTATGTCGAATGAGGATACATCAGCTTTTGTGGAAAAGTGGCAAAACAAAAATGCTACCAATAGACAAGATAAGGGAGCAAGACGCCTTGCCTTGTTTATCGAACATTTTAAAAGACGTGCAAAATCTGCAGACCCATCAAATAAAGCAGTCTTTTATAATGGTATTCAATCAAGAAACAATTTAGTCCCAAATACAAATATACTAAACAGTAATCAACTATATACTGAAAATTTATCTCACTTTAACACAAATATGTACAGAATAAACCAGAAAACCAATAGTCAAAATTATCTAGTTCAAGTAACATCAACTACTGTCCCCACAAATAATTCTTATTTATCCTCAGGGATGTCTAACTCGGCTTATGAAACAACTAATCTGATAAATTCACAATATATAGGGTCACAAATTTATAATAGACCTAGACCAGCATCATTTCATCCTTCAAGTCAATTAGTAACTCGTCATAATCCATACTTTTGCCATAATAATTCAACGTCATATTCTAATGAAGAGAATTGTAATCAAATTTCGCCATATACATACGGTCAAACTGATAATTCATTTTACGTGGAGCCTAGTCAACAAAATAAGATTAATAATGTAATAACGTATGATTCTATTTATGACTATCCACCTAATCTGTCGCCTTATCCTTGTCCTACATTCATACCATATGAAGATATTACACCGACTAATGAAAATGTGAATTCTTTCCTATCGAGTACGCAATCAAGAGTTCGTCCAACTTCAGTAGACTTTTATCGTCTACGTAAAATGCATAAAGGTATGAAACAACTTTTTTCATTCAATGGAAGGAAAGAAAATATTAATGAACAATCTTTTTGTAATACTAAGCAGCTTGAAGAAAATCAAGCAAAACGTTCTTCATTTACCGAAAATAAACAATTAGCATCGCCTGTTACCAGTATTAATAATAAAACAGATCATACATCACTAAATGATTCATCAAACAGAAACTTCAAGAGAACAATACTAAGGTCTTTTAGTTGTAATCCTAGATCTAGTTGTGATCATAGACGAAAAGTTAAACCACAGACAATAAAGTCACAGAATGTTACTGGAAATACTGCAGATAACTACGGCAAATGGATAGAATTAAATAAAAACTTAAATTTGAGTAAAAACGATGCAAAAAGTCGGTTACACGTTGTCAGCTATTCTGAGACTGAACCTGTTAATTACATCACAATATCTGGCGTACAAGACAGAAAACCACTTCAAATAAATTCAAAGTTTAGTATGGTAAAATCATCATCTATTTGTCAAGTAAGTCATTTTTCATGATATTAACCAATGTCACAATTATTTTTATGCAGTAATCTTTTTTAACATGAGCTTTTATCCTAATCTTGATAGATTTTCGTCATGAATGTTTGAGCATATTTTTATCTATAGCATCAAGCTCTAGAAAGAGAATTTAGTGAGAAAATTCAGTTGGTAAATTTCCAATAACCTAAATTTTAAAAATATATATTTATATCATTATTAGAAAGGTTTCAAAGTATTCTTTTCTTGATAATCTTAACTGAGCTTTTACTAGTCTTTGTTGGCTAATCAGGAAAACCCTAGTGTCATTTAATTAGTGGATACTCGAGATCATCTACATAATAGACGAAGTTTTTTCCTTTTGAAATATACATTGAATGGTGAATAGTCGGTTCTTTTTAGTATAAACTATGATATTCAGTTATTATGAACAGAATCAATGTTCCGGTAGCATTTTAGTAGTAAGTATGAAAAAAATTAATATTTCCGACTCATTATTAGTTAGTCTTTAAATGTCATATAAATTATTTGAGGAAAAATTATAATGTTATTTTTGAAAGATTTATTTATCTTTAAAAATAATTTATGAAGTTTTGTACATTTATAAATTATTTTATTAAAGTTGAATGCCCCTATTAACTGACATGTCAAATAGTTTTAAGTTTGAATTCGCTAAATATTTATTATTCCAAATAAGTCTTGTGATCAAGAAAGCATTAATCTAATTAGTGAATTACTAACTTTGCGAATATTACTTAATTAACACTGATAAACTATAGATCACTACAACGTAGATGCCCACATGTAAAATACATTTTGACATGTCAACAGTCTTATTAGTTTGCAGGATATTAAGTGCGTGATATTAAAACTAATTAGTTTTGAAAAGCTATTTATAATACTGTTAATTTCTTTTTGAGCCATATATACTTAACAGTTGAGTGAATATGATTGGTTATAGAAGTATATTTCAATTGCTTATTAGGTTTAATTCCTCTAACAGACTCTCAAATTGAAGTCCCTTCTTTCCCGATTCGATTCTGGTAACTTTTATAAAAGAAGTGTAATGTATAGCCTGGTACGTAAATTTATGTTTACTTACCGAGCCGAATTAATTTGCTTGTAAGTTTGACGAAAATGTAATTCTTCTAAATATAACCAGTATACATTCTTCATAGTTCATCAAGTCACAGTCCTTTTTAGCGGAGAATTAATCACATAGTCAATTATCATAAAAACTGTTTAACAATATATCAGAAACTGTCATATTAATAATGATCTTTCAGTAAGAGCCATAAAAATCTAAAAAATTTCCTCTGCTCAGGTATTTACCGAATCAACAATTTTATGTATTCTGTTCATTACTTACTTTGTTTCTGCCTATCACTCATTGTGCATACTGGTTACTGTTGACTGAATTTCGCTCAAAAACCGATATGCATAAAATTGCATTTTTTAAAACTACAAACATGAATTAATTATATTCCATCTGTGTATTTGCAATAGTTTATTTTTTTTGTGATAAACTGTTTCATTTTGAACTTTAATATTAGTTAAATATGTGTTGTATGATATCTAAATAATGGGATTAGTTATGTGAAAATTTGATGTTGTTTTGGCTTTTAGCAAATATTTGTATATTCCTGAACGTAAATGTTGATTTAGCAATCGTGTAACTGTAAAATTATCATGTATATTCAGTAGTTGGAAGTGATTAGTAGTAAAACCTAGATTTAAGTTTCATGCTAGCTGAAACTCATAAGGTGTAACTATTGTTTTGAGGGAATCGATTCTCCCTAAAGGTTTTGCAGCTATGTCACCCAGCTTCACAGACTAAGACGGGTATCGAAGGATCGGTGGTAGGGCCTGCTGATATTTATTTTGATAATTTTATTACTTATGAATTTAGTTAAACTTGTGTTGTCCTAGATTATTGAATAAATTGTAAGAGAATTCCAGGAGAAACGTTTTTTGAAAAGTTAATAAACTAATGTACTGTCTGTAATATCATTTCGGTTGGTTACTTCGTTTTTTAAAGTGCTAATGTACCCTCTATCTATTAAAGATGTTTATTGGTATAAAAACATTCATTCATGTTTATATGTTATTTCTGAGTACGGTTCTAATTGTTCACTCTTTATCCATTTAGATATTTGGGCCGAAGTTATCCTCAATGTTGACAGTGTTATACTCAGCACTTCCGATCACCTTTGTTCATTTTTGATGTATGAGTACTGTATATCACAGTAAAACTTATAAAATATTTTATTTCAATCCTTAACGTTTACTATATTTACGTTTTTCACCCAGCCTGTCAGGCTATACTCCACTAAACATGTCCATATCAGACTGTTGTGGATAAATTTAGCTTTGTTCAGCTACTTATATCCTTAGTTGCAATGAATTTCTAATAAAAAAGTATATATGAAGCTTTAGGAGAATACTTGACCTTTGTTCTCCTACTCAGTCATTTATTTCTCAGTTTTATATTTTAACAATTTAACGTTTTGAAAAGTTGATTGTGGAAATTTTATGCTTGACTATTTAGTGAGCTGATATTTTTTCATCTTCATGTATATGACAGTTCTCTGTTTAGAGAGTCTGTCAGGTCTCAGCAACGTCTGTTTTCTAAGACAACACCTTATTTCTCTTCGTCCCTGAACTGTGGATTTTATTTAATCATCCCACGTATTTTCATATTGTCAGAAAGCTGTCTGTAATACTGAGTAACCTACGTTTACATATTCTGTGTTAAGCTCATAATAGAAAAAGATAGTCTATTCAGATCTATCTCTCTTTGAAATTTAAAAGACCGCAAAGTTATTCACTGAATTTCGGTGGCTAACCTTATTGATCAATTAGCCATCAGCTTGTTTTTATAGTGCGCATAGCTTTTATCCTTGAGTGAATTAAAATTATAGCTTAATGTGAAGAGACTCTCTTAGGTTATACGATTTGCATGTGTTCACGTTTTAGATTAGAGTTAATCTACTTAATCAGCGTAATATATATCTTTCCTAAAAACCAGTCTTTTGAAATGCAAAAAGGAGCTTGTCCTTGCATTGTTTAGTACAGAAATTTATATATGAAAGGATCGTAAAGCATAGATCAGTAGAACCCAATATAACGATACAAGAGCCAGTTGGATGGTTTAAATACGGACTTTTCTCGACTACTAATCATCTGGTATATTAGTATTCAGTTGCTTTTGCTCCCATTTTCCATTCAACGGTATCTTTTATTTAGATGAATATGAGCAAACTTGATCCATTTTTATGTAGGTAATTTTAAGGCGTGATAGCTTTTCTACCATCATCAATGTTTTAGTGGTCAAGTACAAATCGAAAGCTCATCACTGTCATTTGATCAAACAATGAATGAAATACTTTTAACTTTAATCGTTTCATAGTAAAATGTCACTACTACATTTTTAGACAAATCTTGGTCAAGAGTTTAGATAATGTATTACCTATCTAATGTGAGGATCGGAACTTTTACCCCCCCCTCAATCTCATCAAGATAATCACTTAGGTTCAGAATAACTGCATATTTGTAGAAAAAAAGTAGGTGATAATTGGACTATACATCATTAATATTAGACTGTTTTCATTAATGTGGACAGTCATTCATACGACAGTGGTCATATATTACTAACATTTACCGTTTTACCAACAGGGTCTTTTTTCTAGTGTAGTAGCATATGACGATAATAAATGTGTTGACATTTTTTTAGTAACAAAGGTTACTGATTTTAGTTTTTGTCTGAAAGGTTTGTTATTATATATATATGGATGGTTGATGTTAATGAGTTTCGGATGCACAACATCACTTATTATTAAAAAAAATGTATGCAATTGCAGTACACGGATTATTCAGTAGGCTTTAAACTATTATGATTTTTAAACTTGTTTATTCAATTTTCGGTAGACATTTACGATAAACAGAATGAACTATTTAGTATATGACTGGTTTGTTTCTTCATCGTGTACAATAAACTAAAGATAGTTTACATAATGAACTGGTTTCAGCTAAAATATCATTGAAACGGATATTGTACTACATAGACATTTTGTCCTGGACTCCTTGATTATTCACGTTTATGAAATTGTATTTAATTAAAAATAGTTTCTGATGGAAAATATTTTGAAATTAGATTAACATTGACGTGCTACCCAACTTAATAATTCTTTTATTAGTTCATTTTAGTCCATTACAAATTTGAACAGTATTTGAGCGAACAATTGTTTTCAACAACTTCATCATCGGGCTCTACAGTGATAAGTCCATAATTATTATGGTATTTTATAAAGGCCAAAATGAGGCAGGTATTAATTAATTTGACAATGTTATATGTTAAAAAATGGTGAACGTTTGCATCTGTTACGACATTTATACTTCAAAATTGTGTTATTTGTAAATTAGAAAGGTCATTTAATAAAGGTCCAAAATGATTTGTACTCAAGTGTCCAGTCACAATCAGTATAATAGTAAATTAGGAAAAATGAAAATGCAAAAAAAATCATGTGGATAAAATAAAACCATGCTATCACTAGACATAGCATCCTTGTTCACTAACATCCCCCTGACTGAAACTATAGACTACATATGTGAATAAGTGCTAGAAAAGAAAATAGAGATACCGATTCCAATAAATAAAATGAAAGAACTGTTGAAATGTACTATGAATATCTACTTTAAGTTTAACAATGAATTTTACAGACAAGTAGATGGAATAGCAATGGGATTACCACTACGCCCAATCCTTGCTGATATTTTTCTGGCCAAACTGGAGAATGGACCGTTAAAAGACACCCTAAGTAAGCTAGACTACTACTGTCGATACATAGATGACACACTAATCGTATGCGACGAAATGGTTGACAAACAGATGTTGGACTTTTTCAATAACGTCCACCCAGCGATTCAATTCACCAGCGAGGAAGAAAAAGACAATAGTATAGCTTTCCTCGACGTCCTACTTTCTAGAAGGAGAGATGGTT